TTTTCTCGGTTAAAAACAAATATGGTATATGATATACCGGTGAAGTATACTAAAACATTGTTTGGGAAATCTTTCGTAGACTATTTGTGCTCGAAGTATTTTAATGAAATACTAATTTCGTACAAAAAAAAAAAAAAAAAAATCATCGTGGCTAATTTAATGCGAAGAAAATATTTTATAAATGGCTTATTTCAAAACTATCAACTTCTTAATAAGAGTTTACATTTTTGATGTTTCGTTAGTTTATTATCTTATTATTACGTCCATTGTTAGTTTTATTTACTAATTAATTAAATGACTTAAAAGCTCGGTATCATAATCGATCATTTTGTTTTTAATATATTAAATTTGTCCTAATTATGTTCTTGTTAATGTCAATCTAGTAATGTAATTATACAACAGTATTAGGTACATTTATTTTATTTTATGTCTCTAATCTTATAAATCGATCCGAATGTAACTCTCTACTAAGTTACAAACCGAACTTAAGCTTAAAGACGTATATATATATATATATATATATATATAGATGTTACAGTTAAAACCCGAAATTCGTCAAAACTAGTTTTAACCAGGACTTCAATGTTGATACTAACTTTAAAATACAATTTTATAACAAAAATCAATCAGAAATAAGTATTATTTTTGTTATTTGTTTTGACAAGGCAAACCGTCGTGGCAGTTAGAGTTATTTAGAGTTGTATGGCATTTATCGTAACTTAATTTATGAAAATAAATTAAGATAACTTCGACCGGCTGGCGTCAAATATCCGCTATCATACGTAACAATGGTATTAATATAAAGTTATGTAATGACTAAGTATCTTGCTTTAAAATTTATGTAGAATAAATCGCTCCTTATGTAAAAAAAAAAAAAAAAATATATATTTTATGTAACTCTAAAATCCACAATAGTTAGGCTGTATATACGCGATAGTCAGCCCTTTCGACAAGCTACTGGCAACGGGTCCGGAGCGGAATCGGACGGCTATTTCATACGACGTTTCGTTAAAATGAAAAACCGTTTTTTCCATACGTGATCGTATTTTTATTTTTATTTTTTTTTTTTCGATCACGGAGCGATCAGACGAGGAAACTGTTCTTCTCGCCGACGTTCACAAAAGTAAACCGAACGTTTTGAAATACGACGCGCAGTTGCTATTGCGGTTGGCAGGTCGAAATAAGACGTCCCGGAGGACGCTGAAGTCAGCAGGTTGTTGGTTCGTCGGAGGTCCGCAGGTGTACTCGCGAAAATCACGTGTACGATGCGAACGTCTAGCCGGAGGTTAACGCGCGTCAGCAAAGGCGATAACGTGGGGGGGGGGGGGGGGGGAAACGAATTAAAATATGTATACACGTTTTCTCGTCCACGTAGACCCGTCGGAACACGTTAGCGACGACGGCAGCGATGACGTGCAATTTGTTCGTGTATTTTTCAATTTGCATAGCAGAATTTAAACGAGCCGTTCCCGTCTCACGCGTTAATTGCGCACGTGGTCTATCAAAAATTAAACGTTATGTAAATCGTATTCAAATTAGTAGCGCCGTAACCGCTTTCGCGGGTTTTCACGAGCATCAAGCAATTTCCCGGCGAACGCAACAATAGCTTCTTTTTTTTTTTTTTTCATCCTTCAACAAACATTAATTGTTTTCCGGACGGTTTTTTAACCGACATTCGACGATGTAAAACGTGCAGAAAAAATGAAATAAAAACGCGTGTAAACCCATGAACTTCTCGCGCCCGGACGATGATTCGTGGCGATTAACGGCTTAGATTATAGACAGTTCGGATTTTCAAAGTATAAGATCTTAAGACGTTTACAACCGATTTTTGGTACGCAACAGGCAAAATATAGCGATGAAAAATGATTCATTCGAAGTCCATACACTATTTTTACGTTTCATGTTTTCGTTATTCTATTGCGGTTTCAAAAATATATAGTTATAAGTGTTGAGTAAGTTTAAAAATGTAACAAAGTACTTTACTCGTTACTCATTTATTACATTTATTGGAATCACTTTACATTTCAATTTATAATCGAAAAAAGAAAAATCGTATGCACACATTTATCGGTACAGTCTTTTATCTCGTACATGTTTTTTAAATATAATTCGCAAATATTAGATTTTTGTTCAAAAGTTTTTTGAATTAAATATACATATTTGTACCGCGTTTTATCAGACAACTTACTTATGTATAAAATAATTTCCATTAAATTTTTTTTACGCAATAAACATTTTAATGAAATCCAAATACATCCAATACTGATATTTGCGCAATGTTTATTTGTTTTGCCCGAAACGTGTTACGAACAAATAAACAATTCGAATTGACCCGAAAACAACTACGTGACATTAAATGTTTTTTTACTACCGAAAAAGTATTCGATCACATACCATGTATCAAAGTGGTTCATTAATTTTCAAAACGATATCGATGTATAGGTATCATGTACAGCTTTGTATGTTTTTGATTTTTTGAGTTTATTCTAAAATGATTTATGCGTAATACAAATTACGAAGTGTATGCACGATTTATCAAACAGCAAGCGCATGGTCGCTAATGAACTGCGAAACTATTATTAATTTATCATATCTTACTAATTATAGTTCGAGAACTTTCATTATATTTTTGTATTTCAAACGCTATCGTCAAGAACGTGTTTTAGAGTTCACTAGACTTGTCAAAAAGCTTAACCTGTCCGGTGCGTTTAAATTATTTGTGTACGTTACACGAATAACTCGAGTGTTGATCTGGATGAAAAATTATTAGAACGGTTCTACGTTTACCGAGTACATTTACGGTGATAAACGTATAAACCACACGGAGCAGAAACTACGTTTCCGGGCAAACAAAGTCGCAATACGTTTCGATGTACGTCATATTTTCCTGTACGCACGAACGTGCGTGGCCAGAGAACTCTTTGGATCCAACTTGGATTCGTTTTCAAACCATTTATTTTCGAAAGTACTACGAATTTCATGTCACCGTGTGAACACCCAAAGGTTTTGACATATACACGGTTAGCCTTTCAGATACATACAAATCGCTTCTTAAGGGTCGACCAATTATTATTATAATCGCGTACGGGTAATGGACGTGCGTGAATCCATAATATTTTATCGAATCATTTGAGCGCTTACATGTAGGTACAGCAAACCATCATTCATTATTATAATCAGGGCTACGATTTGTATGCAACAGCATGTTTTTTTTTTTGCGACTTCTGACTATCGATTTTGTCAGTAATGTCCACGAATCACCTCGTTATGATATAAATGGTGGTGTTTTTATTTTACATGTTTTTGCATATTTTGGATAAAATGCGTATTATTGCATGTATTGATTAAAATAGATATTATCGCATATTTAGATTATATGAATGCGAAAAATTAATGTTTTATAGTATTTTTCGTAATTAATTTTTATAATTTAATATTAATATTTCGTATTTAATTCTAGTTTTGCTGATTAAAGTATAAAACTTGATTTTTTTTATCAAATATAAATTTTATTCTTCAATTATATTATATTAAGACAAACAGCCAACCACTGATGTATTTCAATGAATAAATATTTTTTTTTGTAACTACATATATATTTGTGCTTATCTTAAAAAAATTTAAATGCAGATTTCTGCATATTTTGGTAAGTAAAATGCATATTTTACAATTTTTTATTGCATACAAATTTTAGCCGTGATTATAATTATTGACGAATTACACACATGTGTTAATACCATAAAGAGGGACGAGTATCCGTGCGATCATCCCATCAAATAAAATGTTCGTCGAGTCAATCGAACAAAGCGCCCTAAACTGTTTTGCAACGTACACATAACAAGTGAATATTTTATTTCCACGAGTTTATATGTTTACATTTGGTAATAAACCTTGACGGGCGGGTCTTTTAACAATGAATAAATAATAAAACCATGTTTCAATGACAAATTATGCTTTCAAGTGACAAAAAAGTAAAATTTTACTCTTACTACACCATTATGTGAACATAATTTAAACCGTTGGGACTAGGAGAAGCCCCAAGAGTAAAGTGTTATGCGGCACTTAGGGTTGTAAATCATAAAAAAATAAATTAAAACAATTCATGTACGGAACAAAAATTAACTAAACGCGTTTATGTACAGAAAAAAAAAATAATAAATAAGGGTTACAAAATAAATAATAATAATAATAATAATAATAATAATAATAATAATAAAAATAATAATAATAATAATGCTAAAATGTTATACGAAAACATTTTCACAAAAAAAAAAAAAAAATGTACAAACACATCTATAACGAGTAGCAGGAACAAAGTACGACGACTATATCAGTCGCATGCAACAATCAAATAAAAACAATACAAACATAAACGAGAACAAATACAAAACAATATTATGCACGTGTAGAGCACTACCGGTGTCTACAAAAATAAATAAAAATCTTGAGGACGCGAGTTTAGCAAGCTAAAACGTAAATTGTATAGATATATGCCTACGATCTAAAATACAAAAATACTGGTCATTCGGTTATAAAATAATAATGATATCGGGGTACGTGGTCAGTGTCGGTGGGATGGGGGGGGGGGTTCGTTGCTGAATAAACGCTATATAGTTTATATCATAATGTGTGTACGACTATGGGTAATGTTGATCAAGTTCTTACTACTGGCATTTATGTACTGGCTTAGGTTAGGGTTGCGAGAAACATGACTAACGTTGATCGAGGGTGATGGTTTTTCGTTATGAATCGACAAAAATCATTACAAACAATAAAACGAAAACTAATAATAATAATAATAATAGCAAAAATAATAATAATCATAACAAACGTTGAGAATAAAAACAAAAAAAAAAAAAATAAAATAATAATAATGATGATAGTAAAAGGGATTTGTATTTACACGAACACACAACTACTATGTACGTCTGTGGTTGTCTCGTTAACGAGTCAAAAGCACACGAGACCGTTGGTCATACGACAACGCCGGAACCTACCTCGGACGTGAACGTCACTTGAGGTATGTGAAACCTTCGGGCCGGAGGCTCCTGCAACGAGACGGTCGTATCGCTCTGGGTCACCGCCGCGGCGGCCAGGCTCAGCACGCCGGGTATGGACGCGGACCGCGGCGGCGGATTGTTTCTCCGGTTGGCCGTCGACGATTTGTTGTACACCTCTAGGGACAGCTGATTTCCGCACGATCTGCACGACAAAAAAAAAAAAAAAAAAAACATTAAAAAATTCAAACACAAAAATCACACAGGCACCCAATACGGGATTATCGTGTCGCGCACGTACAGTGCAAACGGCCGTGGAGATAACCAAACGATGAGACATATGGTCGTGACTTGCCCTTTAATAAAATTTGACGCATAACCTCGAGTTGGGTCCTAAATTTCAAAAAGAGTATGAATTGCGTCCGAACGTATTTTATCGACTACATGAGTTGGGTCCAACCTATTTGCGTTACCCAGAAGACACCATGTGGAGGTTGGCTAGAAAGTCTTTCGAAAATTTTTTTGTTTTTTGTTATACAAAATTGACGGTCTGATGTGAACATTATTAAAATATTAAAATTATTATTCAATTAGAATTTTTTGTGTGTGAAAAATTATTATTGAATTCGTTCGATTTTCGATCAAATTTTAATTTATTTTTACTTTTATCACTAATAGTTTATTTATAATTATATGGTTGAAATCACGGAAGAAATGTAAAACTCACATCTTTTACTAAGAAAACTTGAGTTGGGTAATTAAGATAACAACAAGATAAAATCAACCGTGGATCCAATTCACGTACTATCGAATGTGACCATTGACCCAATTTGAGTATTATTAAATAACACCACGGACCCAACTCCTGTTTTTTTTTTTTTAAGCAATAAATATCTCGAGACCCAACTCAAGAGTTTTCAGTTTGACGGGAGACTGAGAGATATTCACGAGGGCAAAGAAAACGCGATTAAATCTCTAGAAAATCTGGATATTAAATAAGTTACTTAACAGTTACGAAATTCTTAGTCTTTGGTTTCCACATCATTATAATATTAAGTTTAATTATTTATTCGACTTGGTTACCTACCTACTTATTTATATATTTATTATTTATCTGTTAAAGTCCATATATATATTTATATGTATTTATTTATTCTTTATTAGTTTAACTCTTTAACTTTCATATTATTTATATTTTTAATAATTATTATTGCAATAACATATGCCGATGCCACATGCTAATAATATAATATAATAGAGCAAGCGGCAACGTACGTCGTCGGATTCGCGGATAAGAAAAAAACAAAAAAAATTTCAAAGAATGCGGTCGAAAGTAACGCGAAAACCTCTACTGTTATGCGGTCCCGAATTATTTCACGTGTCTTAACAGTCGACCCGAAATGTTCGAGACGCTTACTGCGCTGCTGTTGATGGGTTCGGAATTTTTGGACTGTTATTTTTCCGTTACCACTAGCACCGCTATTAAAATCGCTTTGCGTACCTATCGCACCCCGCAGTCGGGTCCCAGATGTTTTTGATAAGATTTTGATCCCACATCGTGCTAACGTTTTCCATTTTATGTCTCAACAGGCTTAGTTACCGTCTACGGTTGGTAAACATCGATTAAACAAAACATTTTCAACCGTATCAAGTGGTCGGGAAATCGATGGAAGACGGAGGTTCCTAGGTCTGTTGAAACGGAAAGGAAAATGTTATAAACACATTAAATAAATAAATAAATAAATAAACACTATAGTGTTGTGCAATCCTTTCCGAAAAACATCTGAGACCAAACTTGCACGTTACTTTTTGAGAGGCCCCGGGCAAAACTTATTTCACCCACAACAATAGTCATCTATAACCAATTAAAGGCCTTAGCATGTGATCATATTTAGTGACAGCTGCACGTGATATCGGGTAATGACTGATCAACTTTAAGAAATGCGATTAAATAAATTTCCTATGTATCCCGGTCTCCCATACTATGCGGCGTGCCATACTGGATATATTAAAAATAATATTGTTGTTTAGTTAATTGGTTTTTCATTACACGTCAGGCAATCCACATATTTCACGTTTTGTTTTAAGCTTGAGTTTATATTAAGTACAAAATGTTTTTCAATTAAAATTTTAAGCGCGTGGCCCTGGATAAATGCCCCGTTTTGCCTTCCCCTAACGCCGGCCCTGCCTCTGGTGTTCGGAACCCGACTCTGATGCACAAGCATAACGGCGTAAAGATATGTCTACGTTCATATTATTCTCAACTCCTATCCCTTATACACGGGCTTTGAAGTTATTTTACTCACAAATCCGCTAACGTCTATCGAGTGCGTAGTACGTATGTTGACCGTTCGTTTTGAATAAAAGACGGATAAGCTCTGATGAGCATTGTTATCGTAAATCGCGATAGGGTATAAAACGGGAAATGCACTCGACTCAAAAGCTCGTACGGAATTTTGAACGATTTTGAGTCGATAGCGGTTTTGCGGACGCAGTTATTGTTAAACGAAACTAAGTCGTTTGGGAAAAAATTAAAAAATTATTTTTCAATATAAAGTTTTACATTATTTACTCGGTTCGACGGTTATGAATTGTATTCGCATAGACATTCAAATTGCAGAACACGTTTCTTAATCGTAAGAACCATGATTTACAAATTACAGTAGGCACTTTACAGTTTGTTTTTTTACTGACAAGAAAATGTATAAACGAATTTCAAAGTAAGATTATAATATTTATTATAACGTTTCATCGTTGCATCAGTAGTTCATTTTGTTATATCAACAGTTCAACAGTAAATCGATTCGATATGCACTATTAAAATTGGAACTTTTTTCGGAAGGTTGAACAAGGAAATATCATAGTAATATTTTATGTTTGAAAAGGACAACGAGAGTGCCGTATTCATATTGGTAAAATGCATACAATTTCCTAACTCGTAACGCATTAATATATTTTTCGGTAATAAATAAAACGACTAAAAAAAAAGTTATCATTATTATTATTATTATTTTTTTTTTTTTTTTAAGTTGCATTACTATGAAGTATCAAATAAAATATTTTGTTATATTAATCAAAGGTAACCCGGGTTTTATTTATGACTAGTATACCAATATACTATTTGTTTATACCTATAGATGTTATAAACACGGTATACACGATCGAATGTGTCATTTAAAAACGTGTCCATAAATAGTACATATTCACGGACACATACACACATTTGTATAAAATGTATTTGTGATGAAAAGTATTATACATTTATAAAGAAGACAAATGTGCTGAAGTTTGCATATATTTGAATTTGAATGCGCACGTTTTTATGAAGTATATATTATTTATTTTGAAACTGAAATACTTACAACAGCTCGGTCCAGCTGCTTTTTCCATTGAATATGAGAAGTCTATTATTTTTTTTTCTATTTATATCACATAGATATTTATACTACGTTTTTTTTTTCGGAACACTCATATTCATATGGAAGGAATAAAATAAATACGTGGTTATTCATTCGTAGTCGATTTAATATTTAAAGCGTATTCCGTTTAAATTGATTTAAAACAAAACTCAAGTTGTTTTCACGAAAGTTGTTTCCTTAAATCGTTTGAATTTAAATTATCTAGCCCTAAGTATCCAAGACGTAGTGTGTTAAGAATGTACTATGGAACGTGTAGACCTAACCTATATAGCCGGTGTAAAAACATACATTTAGATCAACTAAGTCGTCGCCTGCGGACTTGGCAGTAAAAATGTACAAAAACCGCAAATACGAGTAGTATATGCACGGTTCACAGAAATCTTTGTTTGACTAGAAAGTGGAAGAGTCGGGTTTCGATGTGTGAACGTGCTAATACACTAGTGAAACGCTAGCAGAACGCCTTTTTTTTTTTTTATTATTTCTCCTTAAAGAGTTATTTTTTAAACTGTTATTATAACTTGCACTAAAAACGTGTAACAGTAAATATAGTCGTACACATTATTAATGATTACACTCGTATAGTATTTGTTAAATTTAATTAAAAACTATCACTACCGAAGGTTAATTAAAATTAAAATAAATGAAAATAGATATCGCTTTGATATATAACGGGCACGAGAAAAATTATAAGCAACTCGAAAACAATTAATTATCTTAATATTTCGGTGTAAATCTGATTATTCCTTAGTTATTCAAATCCCTCGACAAAGTAGTGTGGTCGATATTAACAGTTAATTTCGGCTACACTACTTTAAACCGATAGTTACTGTTGGTTTAACCTCAAGTTATAAGAATTACAGCACAAGTGTCAGCTAAATGTAAGTGGATATATTCTGGATAAAATAGATAATATACTTTTTGAGTTGCGCACGTTGTACCATCTTGATACACGAAAGTCGCATCCATTGTTACACGTACTTATTCATTGTCCAGAGATAAGGGGTTAATGTGAAAAGTATTTGTTAGAAAAGTTTTTCTTATTTCGTACCCGTTATTCTTTGGTGGTTATTGTCGCGAATATCTACGAGTTACATAATATTCCATTTGTTTGGAGACGCGAAATAAAACGCGTTCTATACCAAAATCCAAATAATAATTTCATACACTTGTTGCGGAAAAGTCAAAAGATCACTGTCAACTGTATTCACGTCCTTAGAAATTCCGTACGTATAAAAAATAATGTAGAAGAATACCATTTTTTTATTCTTCCTTTTTTTTTTCGTATTCAAAGGAACAATTTATTACTGTCGCGGAAAATACACCAGGTTGTACGTTGAATAACATTTCATCGAGTTCATTGACCAATACATTTAATGTTGGCGTTTCGATAAAACATAAGTAATTGAATCTAATAGATTCGTTCTAAATAATTTTCAAATAAGAAAATTTTATAATGCGAGAGTAGAACAACATTTTGAGAGTTAATTTCCTTTTTCCTAGTGTTTTTTTCTTTCTAAATCATGTTATAATACAATATAAAAAAATTAAAAAAAGACATATTTACTAACCAACCATTCTCTAAAGATGACATTTTTAATTAAGCCGTTTAAAGTCAATGTACATCATTAAGAGGGAAATGATAATTTTTTCGTTTGACATTGTTTTATATATATATCGTTTTAAATTTTAATATTGCGTCTGTTGATTCGATAATAATCGTATACAATTTAAAGCGTTTTAACAGAAAATATGTTTACGATTTCATGACCATTTTATTATAATACATTAACCGGACTAACATGTTTAAATGTTTTGACGTTGGAATTAATAGTTGTTTGAAATTAATTACTGTAAACAAAATGATCATTTATTTAAAACGTTCGTTATTTCACGAACGAAGATACGGTTATTAAAATTAAGCTAGGTCGTTAAATTTCATAATGCGTAGAAACGATACCTATGTAATTGTTCTGAATTATAAACATAAGATCCCGTATATTGGCGTACAAAATTAAACGAATAATCGTTGCGAGTAAACTCACTTGATTAATTCCATGACGTCGTCTTCGGCCATCATTACTACATTAGTTTTATTAATGAACACTACGTAGTCACCGGGTTTCAGATCAGCTTGATCCGCAGGTAAACCACATTCTACTCTTTCCACCCTAAGCGCACAAAAACATCAAAATAGTTGACATCAGTGGATTATTCGTCACAGTAGTTGTATCAAAAAATAAACGATTCCTTACCTCGGAGGATGAGTCCACGCTATTGAAAATCCAAAACTTGAGCCTGAAGGTTTTGATAGCCGTTTGGTAGTTGTAAACGGAGTTCTGCCATTTTTGCCATCCTTGGACGAAAGTGGTGGGTCCAATTCAAGGTATTGCAAGAATTTGTTTTCTTCGTTGCCTGCGAAATTCGTATGACCAAATTATTAGAACACGCGTGATAAACTTATACGACTGTCATAATGGAAATCGTACAAAGTTGGAGTTGGTGATCAGTTATTTATTCGTTTTATCTCTGGACGCGTCAACCACAGATTACAAATTCGTATGATAAATGAATATGCACAAAGTTTTGGCACTACATTAAGGAAGCAATCGAGCGTGTCGAGAAAAAATAAACATAAGTCAACGATAACGGTGTAAATGCACGGTTGAAATGGGAAAATGCGATTTGTGTTTAGCAAGTTGCTAGGAAATTTTCTAGAAAGTCCGACGTGGAACGAGGCGTAGAGAAGCGAACGTATGAACGGTTACCGGAAAGATATTACAATCGAGTAGGGAAAAAATTCGAAAAGAATTATTTCTACTCGGTAGGGGATCGAAAAGGAAAAATAAATTGGCGTCGGGTCTAAGGTCTGGCAACTGTAGAAAGCAATAATATTACGGTACTAATCAGTACCTATTAATACCTAACCGTGCGTGCATGCGATGGGATGTTCTAGTCGAACGGATTGATAGGTACGTTTTTGATAATAAACAACGGCCACGTGAGTGTTAAAACGTACACGGAAACTATGGCAGTCGGTTAAATTTCTACTACGAACCCCCACATCGCGTGAGAAACCGCGTTTTAGGAGCCATGAAACAATATTGAGCGCAACGCGTAAATCGGAACACGACGGCAGTTATAGCGTTCAAAGACGTTCGCGACCGGGAGCGCGCACACTTACCCGATGATTTCGCGGTCAATACGTTATCTTTCTTTGGCTTCTGATTGCATTTGATCTTGGTGGGCGCTGCAAAAACACGAGAAACGAAAACGGTTAATTTTTCGCACGGAAACCGTACCGCTGACGTTCCGACACGACAACGATAACAGCGAAAATGCGTACCTGAATCGTTACTAGGCGTAGGATCGTCGTCGATCATGATGTCTTCTTCGTCGTCGGTACTGAGCATGGTCTTCACCACGGTCAGGTCTGTAACAGTCGGGTCGACATTTAATTAAAACGTTTAATCGCGACAACGCGTCGTTTCGAACGCTATCGAAACACGCGAAATACTGACCTTGCGGCCGATGAGCCGGCGTCGAGTGCGGCGGCATTCGCCCGGGACTTTGGGGCACCAGCTTGAACGTGCCGTTTATTTCCTGAGAAGAAGAAAAAAAAAAAAAACGCCACAGTCAACAACAACACGCGGGCACGAAACGGAGTGGGGTTGTTAATATCGCCGAACGCAGTTCGGCAATATCTCCTCGTCAATCGGGTCGAACGGTTTAAAGTCGCTCGTCCCGCGACGCGGCTTTTAAGTGCCGCATTAAAAAAAAAAAAAAAAAAAAATTAAAAGAAAGGCTGCACACATTTCAATGGGCTCTCGACACTTGAAGAGCTTCGTTAAACAACGCGTACGTCGACGCACCTATGCCCGGACGAGCCATTGTTATCGAGTGCGGAAAAAAATTGAAAGTCGAATCGTTAGACACACGTTTAACGGGGACGTTTCGGCGCGATTGACGACGGAGCTGCGCGTTGCGACTGACACTTACCTTTTTGACGACGTTTCTGACCGCGAACGACATGTAGCCAAGGAACTCGCTCCGCCTGTGAACACAAACAAACGGTTAAGTGACGACCGTGACGCGCGCGGGACCCGGATGGCGGAACGGAAGGGACGCGGCTGAGACGACTGCGAACGGTCGGCGACGGCATGTACTACGGCTGGTGGACTCGACCGCGACGTTCTGCCGGACCGGACGGGAAGCGACTGGCCGCCAAACGTTCCGGCGTCGATGCGCGCGCGGTGCCCGCCACGGGGGTCGTGCGCGCGCGCGCCTCATCGATCGGCTGCAACCCCTAACCGCCCCCGCGCCGTTCGCTCCACGCCCGCGCAGCATCCCTCGAAACGGATCTAGCCCTCCCCGCGGTTCGGCAGTCGGACGCTAACACTACGCGCCGCGGTCGGAAGCTTTAACGGCGAAGGGTTCGCGGCCGTCTCTCTCTCTCTCACTCTCTCTCTCTCTCTCTCTCTCTCTCCAAGCCGCGTCCGGAGGAACGGACCAACGTTTTATCGTCGGCTATGATACCGTACAGCACAGCGTTGTTACAGGATCGCGCACGTATTATCGGTTGTGATCGCCGGTGGAAGTGATGGGCTCGCGACGGAGAGCGGACAAAAAATGCGGATGGCCTTTTTTTTTTTTTTTCCCCCAGCCCGGACGACGGCAAACGGGGACGGTCGTTGTGTTCTTCTTGTTGCGCGCGCTCTCTCCCGGTCAACGTGAACCGTACCGCGTTTTCGGTTCGACTCTTCTTTTCTAGACCAGCGCGAGTGTAACTAATTCAAAGTCCGATTCGCGCTCGCACGACACGACGGATGAAAATCGCTCACCGACGGAAACGCATTCGATTCATCCGGGTTTTCGTGAAAAGTCGTGTTGCGATCGGTGCAATAATTTCCGTTTACAAATGTGATACAAAAGTGCACGAGTACATAATAATGTTTATATTTTAAACGAACCGATTCCGGCGGGCAACGCGACAAGACATTCTTTACTGGAATGTTTTACCGCGGAGCACGCCGAATCGGCGCGAACTATCGTGCTCATTTGATTATTGACAGACCGAATCGTCGCGTCGAGTCGTGAACAGGGCCTAAACGTCGCGAACAAAACGTCCGACGCGAACGACGGATGGACAACGCGTGTCCGGCGAGACAGTTTCGTAATCGACGCGACCGTTATAACAATCGTCTCCGAGTAGACGTGTAGTCGGCAGAGCGAACAATAATTATTGCTATTATCGCGTGACCCCTTCTTTTGTAACGGGTGCGCGAAGTCAAGTACGCGCTATCGCTCTCCGCTCTATGGAATCGGCTTGCACGCCATTCGAACTAGTGATGGGAATAATCGAACGATTCGATTATTTAAAATAATCGAATGATTTTTAATAATCCAAATGATGGTACCAGACATATTTATCAGAAGCGAATCAATCGGATTGTTCGAAGAAATTGCGTGTTTTACTCATCGCCCATCGTCTATCGCAATTGATCGGTCGACTCTCCAACAGTATTGTATTACTGTTCATGTCAATCTTAATCGTAGGTACGATTCCCGGTATCGGTTACCGACACACCAACTGGTTTTATTACGTATGCATTGCATTTGGATTGAGAAAACGCATTTCACTATCGCCCGGACAGATAATCATTTGGTTATTTATTCGAGCGGTTAGACCATGAAACGTTCGATTGTCTTGATTTCATGTACTGATCATTGGACCATTGAAATCATTCGATTATTCTCACGACCGATTCCAACGCTGTTTCGACAGGGACGTTTCGTACGCGAACACGGCACGCGGCGGCTTGCAGGAAACGAGTCCGCGTGTGCACCGAAACGTGTGCAGCGCGATGATGTGGTCGTTCTATTGCGGAGCGATACGTGGTTTCGTACGCGTAAAATCTTTTACCGTGACGCAATACAGTACAATATTGCATGCAACACGGGTACGCGGAGTGTGTTCTACAACAACCGTTTACCGTATTCATTGTTGTACCGCCAATGCGTCGTCCGAGAGCGTAGAGCGCACCGCGGCATTACAATGGCAATAATAGAGCGGGCATTTCGAGACTTCAAACGCGGTCGGGCACTCGATGATTCTCGACTCTTTCGTTCCCCAACGCACGTCCGTCCGGGGCGGTATACCCCGCGAAGTTTGGATACGGTCCGTCCGGAAACGTGCCGACCAGTGTCGGACTTGAACCGAGCAAACAGATGGTGCACGCAACTCGAGGAGTTCGTTTTACGTTGTGTATATTGCTTTTGGCGCATGCGAGAAGGGGCTGCCGCTGTACACGTTCGCGAATGCAACGATAAGTCTTACGGATAGAAAATAAACGTTGTAAAGGCGTTATGATTTTAAATCTATTTCACGGAAGCGCATTTCGAGGTTCGTGTTGAATACAGACGCACAAGTATATCGTAATGTTTGTTCGCGCGATTCCGCGTTTAACACGGAAGAGTTAAACGAAGAGTTTTACTAACGGCGTTTTCGCCGGTGCGCGTGTCACCCGAGACGTCGGTTCTATTTTAACGGACCGGATCAAATCGATCGTGAAATGATATTTCGAACGAATGTAAGTTAGGAACGAGGAACAGAACGTTGGTCTCGTGCTTGCAAGACTAACAAGTTTAGAGGGACACGAAAACGCGATCGGAAAATAATAAAAATCAATGTAATGTCGATTACCTTTTCGATCTGTCTCGGTGCCAAACCGATATCAATATTCGTTTGCTGCGATCCTCTTCGATTAGCGGCACGGAGAAAGATTCGTCGAAACGCGGGTTGGTAGAATTGTACCGCACTCGAGTCTTGTGACACGTCCCTTTGCCGGGCACCAGATAAACCTGTACACAAACAACTCGGGTTAGTTTTGGTCCGATACGTAGTAAGTAACGGCGACGGATTTACTTTGATATAAGTGTTGGGCGGTTCGCCGTCCGCGCACACCAGATTTCTGCCTCGTTTAACTGTAACAATACAAACACGCGCGTGAGTTCAAAAGTTTTTCGTCCGACAACAACAGTCCGTCTGGTTTACCGGACGAGTGTGTACTTACGCAAAACGGTTAAGTGCGTCAGATCTTTGACCCCGATGAACACTTCCAGGCCGGAGGCTATAAAACACGAAAAACGAAATGCGTCAAGATCATAGCGGGGAGAAAAGCGTCGTTCGTACGCGTCTTACCTCTGTCGGACGAGGCGGCCGGGGTGGACTTTTTCAGGGACTTGCGGTTGCGCTTCTTGGCCGACGAGTCGGACGGCGGCGGCGACACGAACGACAGGCACCTGCGCGACCGGAGCGTGAACGATTCGTCCATGGCGGCCGGGCTGCACGGGTGGCTGCCGCACGCGATGATGTCGTCGTCGACCGTCTTGGAGGACGCGGTGGACGGCAGACTGGCGCACGCCGTCAGGGACCGGCCGACGGGCGTCTTCCAGTAGTCGCTCGAGTCGTCGGGGTCGCGGCGCACCGGCGTGATCGGGCTGGGCGGCCGGGTCAG